GGCAAATTCAATTGAATGAGTATGATTTGGAAAGACGCACACGTCTTAATAAAAGGTCTAACAGCTGAAAATGCATATCAGAGAAAAAAACCAAGCCCTGAGGTCAAAAGAACTGCCTGTAGAGCTCAGAAACAGGTTTGTGTCAAGCCACACGTCTAGTTCAGGAAAAAAATTCTGCTGCATTGAAGGTTCACAGAATCATGTAGTCTCTGTTACCCTTAATGGAAGACGTATGAAAGAGAGACACACACACACACACAAACAGAGACACACACACACTTGTGACTTTTGACACAAGTCACACAAGACACAATGTGACTTTGCTACAGCCTGGAACTGAACTGTTGGTTTGTTCTGGTCAGAGGAGAACTGGCCCCCCGACTGAGCCTGGTTTCTCCCAAGGTTTTTACTCCATTCTGTCACTGATGGAGTTCTGGTTCCTCTGGCTTGCTTAGTTGGGGACACTTAATATCCAGCGATATCGTGGACTTGATTGCACAGACTCTATTTAAACTGAACTGAGCTGGATGATGACATCACTGAACTCAATGATGAACTGCCTTTAACTGAAAATTGAGTGTTTACTATTGTCCTTCTGCATTATTATTATATTATATTATATTATATATTTTCCTGTTTAATACTGTAAAGCTGCTTTGACACAATCTGTATTGTTAAAAGCGCTATATAAATAAAGGCGACTTGACTTGACAAGAAACTCATGGAAAAAGCCATTGATTTTTCATGCATTGCTCAATTTTGAGATGTTTTGTTTTTTTTCTGTCTATATTTTGAAGTTTTCTTAGAATACAATTTCCCTCATTTATATAACATAACATTATCAAACCTTTAACTCTAATATGACAACAAAATTAAACCAGAATTTTGAAACTGCTTTAATGTTCAGATTCATCGTCTGGTAATGTATGTAAATTAGTGCATGTTTAATTACATGATGCCTAATTTGCATATTTAAATATAACATTTTAGAAAAGTTGTAATACAAAACTATTATCTTAATACACTGTGATCAACCAACTGAGGAAAGTTCTACCATATTCACCCATGGTGTCTTAATTTTGGTTAGTTAGGAACTGACATTTTTTTAAATATCGTTTTCTATATATATTTTTGAACTAATTTTGATTTCAGTTTTAGCTATTTTACAAGTTAAACTACATAAAAATGAGGAATGCTGCCTTGGCAACTAGCTGAAACAAATTGGCTATATTCATGGCAAAAGCAAAGAAAAAACAACTTATAATTGCAATATATTTCTGATACATTGTTTACAATAATTTAACAATTTTGTCTTAAAAAAATTATTCAGATGAAATAAAATGAGTTTAAGTTTTTTTTATATTTTATTTCATTTCAGTTAAAGTTTATTTTGATTGATTAAAGTTTATTTAGATTAAGCCCTTAGACTTTTAGGCATGGTTTCACAGCCAGGGCTTAGACTAAGCCAGCATTAGGCCATAGTTCAATTAGGACATTTAGGTAATTTTTATAAACGTGCCTTAGGAAAAAAACATTACTGGTGTCCCTCTTGAGACAAAACATTTAAGTCTGGGACTAGGCTTAAGCCCTGTCTGTGAAACCAGGTGTTAAACAGGTAGCCAGTGGACACAGACTAGTCTCATCTGTCTCATAAAATAGTTGGACTGAAATGCTACAGCTCAATTTGCATATTTGTTAATGTTATTATTATCATGTAGTTGCACTCAAGTTGCTACGTTACTGTACTACTGTTTTGCACATAAGTCAATATTGCACACTTGCACATACAGATGTACAGTCTATATTTCTACTTCTGCAGCATAATTTTACTTTTATTATGTGTGTGTGTGTGTGTGTGTGTGTGTGTGCATGTTTGTGGTTTATGAGGACACACATTTGTATAATAACATGGGTATGACAGGTATTACAACGAGAAGGTGATTTATGAGGACATTTTCAGTGTCCCCGTAATTCAAAAGGCTTATAAATAATTCAGAATGAGTTTTTTTGAAAATCTAAAAATGCAGAAAGTTTCCTGTGAGGGGTAGGTTTAGGGGTAGGGTTGGTGTAGGGCAATAGAATATACAGTCTGTACAGTATAAACACCATTACGCCTATGGAGAGTCTCTGATTAGCATGTTACTAGCATGTTTGTAGCATGATTAACAAGTTACTAGCCGGTTTCTAGCACGATTAGCATGTTTGCTAGCATGATTAGCATGTTACTAACATGTTGTTAACATGATTATCATGTTACTAGCATGTTTGTAGCACGATTAGCAAGTTACTAGCAGGTTTCTAGCACAATTAGCCTGTTGTTAGCATGTTACTAACATGATTAGCATGTTGTTATCATGATTAGCATGTTATTTGCATGTATCTAGCATTATTAGCATGCTGCTAGTATATTTTAACGTGATTTACATTTACATTTAGTCATTTAGCAAATGTTTTTATCCAAAGCGACTTACAAATGAGGACAATAGAAGCAATCAAAACCAACAAAAGAGCAATGATATGCAAGTGTTATAACTAATATAATAGTGCTATATAATAATACATAAAAATAAGTCTCAGTTAGCTTAACGCAGTACATGTAGCAAGGTTTTTTTTATATAATAAATACAAAGAAAACAGATAGAATGGAAAAGAATAGAGCAAGCTAATTTTAGAGGCCTTTTTTGCTTTTGTTAATTGTATAATAAATAAAAAGAAAACAAATTGATAGAATACAAAAAGATTAGAGAAGCTATTGATAGTTTTTTTATTTATATTTTGTAATTGAGAGATAACTTTTCAGGAAATGTCAGTTTTAGGCTTACAATCAGGATTATGCGCTTCTACGCCCTTGTTAATCAGCTATCATTTCCCTCTGATTTTAGGAATAAATTATGGGTAGGGTTAGGTTTAGGGGTAGGGATTGGGTTAAGTCTGTATTTTTTGACAGTAATGTTGATCCAGGAACATGTCTTACTTGGCAAAATCACGGGTCTCTGAGGGTGTGTCCTGCAGCGTCACACATCAAACACAGGTGAGATCTGTGAGAACGTCATCGTTACACTCACCTGCTCCTCCATCATCAGCCCACGCGTCTGAACCTGCTGAGACACGCTATTTCAGGCTCATTTCTAAGGCAAGAGACTACAGACAAAAACTGTAGCTAAAAAAGTTTCATTCACTGATCCATTTCAGTCCATTTAGCGTCATAACGTCTTTTCTTTCAGACTAGAGACAGAAACATTCAGAATACACATTTAAGTGTTTATTTTATTGCACTTGATCGGTTTGCTTCTGTACACTGTAAAAAATTACCGTGAATTTAACGGTAAAAGACTGTAAAAATGCTACAGTAAAAACCTGTTAAATGGTTAATGATAAATTCCCCTACTATATACGGTGAAAAACTGTATTGGACATTACATGTAATTTTACAGTAGTATACCGTTAATACCGTATACAGTGAATAACCGTAAATTGACATTCCCAGAATTCCCTGCGTTACATTTCAAATTGAATGTTTTTTTGTTGAAATAACTGTTTCTTCTTTGTTTTTTCTTAACAGTTTTGTATATTAGGATTGTATGTTACACCTAATGTTGTTAAATGAATGTTTATTGCATTATTTCAGCTTCATGTGTGTCACCATGATGGTGTTTAGTGTTTGTGTGAATGACGCTGTGCACTTCTATATATGTTATTATTTAAAAGCTGCTTGTGATGGGCTTTGGTTCATCATGTGACTTTCTCATCACCTCCTGCATTTGGTGGTTATCAGTGTATTACAAAGCTACAAAACAGATTTCAGTACTTCAATAGGTTGGCATATTAACATTGTATCAGTTAATGAAATTACGGTATTTAACTGTAAATTTAAGTTAAAACCGTAAAACCTCAAATGTTGCTACCGTATTTTTTATGGTAAACTTCCGGCAACCACAGCTGCCGGCTTTTTACCGTAAATTTTACATATTTTTTTTTACAGTGTAGATGTCAGTCTTTTTAGGGCAGACACTGTTTTTCATGCACCTGTCAGGTTTGAGATTTTGGGCTTTTTGGCTTTTCATAGTGCAAGTGTTTTTTCAGACTAGTGGAAAGAAAGCATCCAAAAGACACTGTTAAGTGTTTATTTTATAGCAGATTATAGATTTCAATTACAAAAACATCTTTTTTCTCCTACACTGAGCCATGAATCTCCTCTTCAGCAACACTTACACACACCACACTTTACAGTTTTATTCCTGTCTGTATCCTGAAGGTTTTTACAGAGGGATTTGTTCATATGTAATTTGCTTGATTTTATACATTTTACTCCCCAATAATTGAAACCATATAAAAAATAAAAAAACAGTACACAGAATCTCTTGGATTACAGTTTGCAACTAGACGGATGTACCGTTACTTCCTCTACAGTCAAAAATCTGGGTGTTATATTATATACACACTGCCGTGTGTTTTGAGTTTGAGCTCCGTCAAGTTAATTATTTGTCACATCTCTTTGGCCAAGCATTCAAATAATGCATCTCATAATCTTGTACTGCAGTTATATCTGATCAAATGCACATTATCTTTTTTTGCTTGGTTGGAACAGCAGCTATGCTAATTATGTCTCTATTTGTTTCTCTGTTTCTGCTGGGATTGACATCCCGTGGTAACTAGGATTTACACAAGCTTCAGTCTGGATCCAGAATACCTGAGAAGAGATGATGCCAACCCCTCAGAGGACCTCAGATGATGCCAACCCTGAAACAACATACAGAACTACCACATTTGGCTATAAGTGTGATTGCAACATATAATAATTGCTGTTCATCGTCTGTTTGATTACATCTTTAATTGATTTTTCTGTACATTTCTGCCATATGTACATTAACGGACAGTCACCACTGATAAGCTACTACTAAATATATTGTAGAAACTTAATTTTCTGTAAAGTTGCTTTGCAATGATTTGTATCGTGAAAAGCACTGTACAAATAAACTTGAATTGAATTGAATGTCAGCTGAAAGCAGGCGGTTTCACAATCACACGGGCGAGAACAAACAACACCTTTATGTTATCAGTGGTGATTGACAATGAAGGGAGGCGTATCAGAGGAGAATTAAAGACAGTAAGTTCATCTGCATGAGCCATTCTGTCTTTCAATCATATTCGAGAACAGATTAAGGCCTGCTGCCAAATGTGAATCTACCAGTGGAGCGATTAGCGCCGAAGATAGATGCTTTCTCCTTACTCTGATTAAAACCTGCATTTAGAGGTCCTGCTGTAGCAGGTTGGTTGGGAGAACTACCAAAACCAAACTTAAATGCCGGTGCAGAAGTGCTTTTGCTTTTCATATCTGGGTTGGACGTCTGGCAGGCGACACAATGGCTAGACATGCCTTTATTTTTCACCAGGCAGACTTCACAGTCCCAATCCCCATCTTTTTTGGCAAAATCTATAAACGATGATGACACAGGTGCATCGGCTTTAGGAGGCACAACTGAGGAGGAAAGCAAATGAGATGTTAATAATGTTAATAAAGGGAGTAACTTTTGTTAAACCGTAAACAATCAGCACAGGTTCACACTGAACACAATAATAACCATTTTCAAAAACTGGGTATGAGGTGACATTATTCAACTCACACTTAAACCATCGAATTTTAAACATCAAATATTTTGCAGTTGAAAACTGTAATGTTATAGACATTGTAATGTATCCCAACGTGTTATTGCAATACTCATCCTATTGCAAAATGCTTAAAATTTCAATAATATTGTCGCTGAAGTAGCATGATAACATCAAATTGGTGATTCCCACTCCTAATATTAGTTATGTTAAGTATACAGTATATGTAGATGAGACACGGGAATAGAGAGTTTACTGAAGTCTTCTCACCTTCTCCAGATTTGATCTTGATCTCCGTCTCTTTGGTGACATCCAGCAAACGCTCTTGCATTTCAGAAAGCAGCAGCTCCACATTGCAAAAAAATGCTTTTGGATTTTCAGAAATGTTGGAAAGATCTTCAAATTCTTCAGACATGCATTCTGGGTAATTCTACACACAGAATACAAATAATGTACACTGAAGAAAATAAATATGATATCAAAAGCCTAAATTCAAAAAGATGCCGAAACATACATATAATCAAGTGGTTTCCTCATCAATAAATTGTTCTTCAAAACTAATGAACTGTTTTTTGTTTTTTTTTAAATAAGAGTTTTGATAAAGCCATCTGTTGATCATCATCAGATGAGTTTGTTTGCTGTACCTGCAGAAAGTGAATGTGGTCTTCAGTGGTCAAGAACTGATCGAGCTCAGACACCTTCATCCTGAGGTCAGAGATCTTCTGCTGGACTTTCTCCTGAAGTCCTTCAATGCGACTGAGTTCATATCTCTGTCGCTCTGCGATCAGCTCTTTCACGCGGACGCTTGTTTTCTGAACGGAGCACAGCACTTCACTGAAGATCTGCTCGCTTTCAGAGACAGTCGTCTGCGCTGAACACTGTTCCACAGCAAGAACATCCACAAACAACACTCTTCAATTAACACATCATTGCTTCTCATAGACTAACAAATGCTTCTCAGATGTTTCTTCTGAAACAGATGTCTCCTGAGGAGATGAAAGGAGCCATGCAATCAATACTCACTGTGACGGACTCCTCTGCCTGCTTTAGCTCAGAAACTTCTCACGTGTTTCCATTAACTTCATCTGGCCACAGAAAATAGCAAATAAAACTTGTAAGACATGTATGACAGAATTGTCAATTTTTGGTGAACTATCCCTTTAACATTGAACATTCTCAGAACATTCTGGAAAGGTTCTCTCGAAGTTAAAAATTGTTCCAGTAAAGTTAATAGAAAGTTACCCGGCCTTTTATAATGTTCTCAAAACATTAGCACAAAAACATTATTTAAACATTGCTCAGGCAATGTCAACATTTTATTTAGATGTTCATCATATTTTTCCAAAGGTTACTACATTGTTTACAGTACAATTAAAAGTAATGCTATCTGATCTTTATGTTAACAAAACTTTAGCACAAAAACATTGTTTATGGAACGTTTTTCTGAAACATTGGAGTTTGGCTTTCATCTCATGTTCTTTAAAATTTACTAAATAATTACTATTTATTTCAGAATGTTCAGAGAACATTAGGTAACGTTCCCATAATGTTTGCAAATTTATATAAAACTGAACAGTCACTTAAATGTTTTTCTAACATTCACATAAAAATACGTTTTAAAAAATGCACATTTTGAACGTTCTGAGAAAATAACGTTTTCGTGACATTTTTTTCCAGTCCGGTCTCATGAAAATGTGTATAAATGGTACGCCAAATAAAAACATAAAATCGTAGTATTGATACGCAAAAATTGACTATAGCGTGCATATGATACGTATGTGTTTGGCGTGCATGTAATACGCAGCTTTCGGGTACATATGATACGCACGTGTTTCACGTACATATGATACGCATCTACCCCACAAACCTAATTCTACCCATTTCGTATCATATGCACGCCAAAGTCAATTTCTGCGTATAAACAGTACGCAAAATCGAAACAAACTCGTGCAATTGATACGCAATTTCATGAGATCGGGTTGGATTGTCAGTTATCAATCAGTGAGGATCTACCTGTCTGTCTGCTCTTTCTTCAGAAGCTGAGACGCTGTCGTGGTTCTTGTGTTCATGTATAGCACACAGCAGACAGACACACTTCTGATCAGTGCGACAGAAGACATCCATCAGTTTCTCATGAAGAGAGCAGGTTTTGCTCTGAAGATCCGTGGCTTCGGTCAGCAGGTGTTTCTTCCATCCGTGGAGATCATTGTGCTTCTCCAGGTGACTTCTGCAGAATGAGGAGACACAGGTGAGGCAGGATTGCACAGCTTTGGTTCTTCTGGAGGTGCAGGAATCACAGCTGACTCCATGTTCTTCAGCATCTTCATCATCCTCCTCCTTTGGTCTCATCTTCATCAGTTTCTCAGAAAGCTCCTTCATCTGCAGCCAGTCAGTGACAACAGGTTTGTTTGCACTGAGGACATCTGTGCACATCTTTATACCACAAACCTGTAATGCAGTCCTTACAGAAAATGTGCCCACAGGGAATAATCGCTGGATTTTTAAAGAAATCCAGACAGACGCAACACGTGAGATCGTCGCGATCGTCTGCCATATTTTGGATTGGAACACCTGTGTTCTGTCGAAATCTTCCCCCTGTGACAGAACAGAAACTAAACTTTGACGCGTAAGTTTCGTTTGTTTGGAAACAGTGACTCTATGGAGTCAAAACAATGCCACATACACTTGCAAAATAATTTAAGTATTGCAAAAGAAAAAAAATTGCAAACGAAAATGAAGGTATTGAGAAAAAAATAAATGTGCTTTTTGCAAACAAAAATTAAGAATCGCAAAGGAAAAAAATAAATGTGCTTTTTGCAAACAAAAATAAAGAATTGCAAAATATAAATGAAACAGAGCAAAAGCAATGAGTTTGCTACACATATTTTCCATGGCCACAGCTACTAATTTATTTGCAACACTGCATTTCAGTCAAGTGTGAGCTTGCGATACCGTTTTTCCCTTCGCGCTTCACGCTTCTGCGCGTTTCACTTTCTGGCATTGTTTTGACTCCATAGAGTGACTCCGCTACAGGAGTGGCTTGTTTTAGAACTCTGTTTTTCTTTCATTTTTATGCACCACTCTCTGTGTGGACTGTCAATCTCTATAATACGGTTGGGAAACAAATCTATTTTATCCCATGACAAGCGAATATTTGAAGAATATCCAACGCGAAATGAAGTTCTGGTACGAAAGCGTTTGGTTACGCACGTTATTTCAAGGAAATGTTCAGTTTCCAAAAATATTCCATATAGACGAAACTAGAACACAACATTAGGATATTTATATTGGTTACAAAAACGTTTCTTACAACATTCTACTAAATATACCCAATATATAATGTTATTTTAACGTTTAGTTTTAATATTCTAAGAACATTAAAATCTCCAGTTTTCTTGTCATGATTATAACGCCATTCAGAGGTTACAAAAACGTTTCTTAGAAAGTTCATTTAGTACAAATAACATTATAAAGACATATTGAGAATGTTGATCTAAGAACATTTTCTCTCAACGTTATGAGAATGTATATCAAATATTAATGAAGTTATAAGAACGTTCCATAAAAAATATTTTAAGAATGTTTTGTCCTAATATTTATAACTATTAAAAATGTTAGCTGCGGCAGTATCGTGTGTTTCCAGTAGATGGACTCATTGTCTTGCAGTTGACTGTAAATAAAAAAGCACCCAAAATGCCTTCATTAAATTAAGTTAATATATGTTTGTCATGTCCTTTAATTTTAGTATAAATGTAGTTGGTGTCCCCTTATTTGGATTTACGGTGTTATCTGAAAGTCCGTTTTGGCAGAATGTTATCTGAAAAACAAGAGCTATAGTTTGAAGTTTGTGAAGTTTATTGAAAAGTCTATTGAGTCTATGGAAAAACCAAAAAAGAAAGCTTTATACATACAAAACAAACATAACAACAACAAAAAAGTCTTTGTCACTGTGCAAAACATTTCTAAGAGTTTTTTTTTTTTTTTTTTTGCAGATAGTAGTGTTTACATTATTAATACAAAGAAAAATAAATATAAGTGTTTATGACTTTAGCATGTCAAAGCTCTTATCTTCAAACCTCCTTCAATAGCTAGATTTTAATCTCATTCTGTCTTGCAGTGTTATCATTGTTCAAACATTAATATTAAGATTTTCAGTTGTCAGCGTGACCTCTGAAACAGTTATTAGACAGAAACAGCTTTACTTTTCAGATCGCTGCATGAACTCTGACATGCGACACTGACAGTCTGTTAAGGTTTTTGAGAAGGAATCTGCCAGATCCGGAGTCTTAAACTTGGCAGCAAACTGCTGAACTACAGCATCTCCATCTGTGGGAAATATGAGCACAATATGAGTAAATTAACTGACAAACAAGATGTAAATCTGTGGAGGTTTTGCAGTTTCTACCTGAGTAGTCTTCTGCTGTCCAGGACAGTGCGTTTGCATTGCTCATAGGTTTAGGGTGAGTGGTTCTGGTAATGCAGTGGTTGACAAGCACCTTTTTATCCCCCTCTTGACACATGAACACACGGTAGCGCTTCTTCACGGGATGGAAAAGCATCTTAATGTCTCCTGCACCACAGGATTTCCACTTGTTAATATCACAGTCCCAGAGGAAAAGTTTGGTCCATTCGTTGAACAAAATCTCCTCTTCATTCTCCTCAACCGATGGAAGTTCCACCTTGACAGAAGCAATGACATGATGAAAATATAAAAGGAAAATTAAGAAAAACTAAATGTTGGTTTGATAGAGTTCCAAGGTTAGTTCAAAGAGTGATAAGGGATCTGTGGAAAAGTTTAGAGAAAAATAGTCTAGAAAATGTAAAAATAAATAATACTAGAAAATAAGATCAAACTAATTAACTAAATAAATAAATGAATACATTTTATTAAAATAAATTGATTAAAATCTATTTAATTTTATTTGAAGATAAAAGATAATTTTATATTTGAATTAATTAAAAAATTGATTAAAATAAAATCTAAATAAATCATGAATAACTAAATAAAAACATTTCATTAAAATAAATTATTTTGAAATGGTGAAAATATAAAAAAATAAATGTAAAAAATATTTAAATAAATAATATATCTAGCAGTACAGTACTATATTAAACATGGGAAAGGAACACCTGGGGAGCAAGACACAGACAAAACATGGAACAGAGTCTGACAACTATAGTCAGTATAAAAATGCAATGATGTAACATAACAGAAAATAAATATTTTATATTAATATTTTATGCATATTTAAAAATATATATTGTTTTACAGCATGAACTGGGTTTTTGTGTGTGAAATTGGGTTACTTGCACAAGGATTATCAAATTTGTACATGAAAAACTTCTTATTGGTTATAATTTCAGTATATTACAGAGAAACAATTACCTAAAAACAATGTATGACTTCTACAACATTTCAAGAATTGTCAAGAATTGTCAATGAACTTTTACACAGACAAATATAAATGGCTGCTTCTAGCAGGGAAGTGATTGGATATCTACATGATTAACCTCTTCATCATCATCATCATCATCATTGCTCTCTTCCTCTTCGTGATTTTGTGTCTCTGTTGCAGCTCCAGCATCTATAAAAATAAACAAAGATAAAGTTATCCATAACAGCATTATTAGCAGTATTAAGGCAAACTGGAGCATGTTATTTCTCTCACTATCTTTAAACCAATTTCAGTAAAAACAAGCAATTAATTAATCTCAGTGCAACCTACCATGACCATCGACTGCATCAGGATACAACTTTCCTTTCAGAGATCTGACAGCCACTTCAAAATCTTCATCTAAGTGAGAGAAACACAGCATAGAGGTAAACACAGCTCTGCAGAGCAATCATGATTTGAACTGTGGTGCATAAAGAGCCAAGAAACCAGAAGACAGTGTGTTTCTGTTGGGTATCGTTTGAATTTGATCAATTCCGATTCTGATTCTTATCGATTCGCAGTTTCGATTCCAGTGTGGTTAAAAAAATGAAGTCAAACATTTAGATATCAAACCTATTTATTCTGTGTCTCTTTTCGCAAAACATTTAATTGCTGCTGAATACCATGAACAAAAATCAGCCAGCTACATAAAAACTGGACTCGATTAAGAGCTGTTTGTGTGAAAAATAGAACTGCACGATTCTGGATAAATTGAGACTTTTTTGTTAAATGGAGGTTGTAGTTCTCACAATTCTGAAGAAAAAACAGACAAGTTAACAGAATCTCATGGAATTTATGAATGGAATGATTCAATGACTCACTACTTCTTGTTTCTATCTACTTGTTTCATTACTGGATGAATCAGTGTTTTTGAATGAATCTCTTGAATGAATGATTCAAAGACAAATACATTTTTAACAGCCCCTTTAAAAAAAATGTGCACACAGGAATTGATATACAGTAGGTGGAATTTAAATGTAAATTTTACAACAAGTAACCGATTCTGGAATTGGAATTGATTTTCGATTCCCAACCCTATGTGTTTCCATGTTCTAGTTAACGTTTAGCTTCCGCAGACAGTATTTATGTTTTTTTCCCAAGTAATCTAAATAGTGTGCTTTACCTGGTAACATCTAAACTGACTGGTTTCATGCAAGTCAGAAATGTAATTTAATTTGATTATATCAACCTGACAAATGAAATAAACAGAAGTATTTTTTGTAGGTTAGATCAGCTAAATAGACCCTTCATATTTCTCACCATCATCATCCTCATCACTTGCGTATCCCGGCTCGTTTCTGTAACAGAAGAACGTGTGAGGAAGCATCAGTCTGGCTGCCAGTTTGGCTTGTTCTACTGTGGGCTTTCGCTCAAACACGATCTCAGCATCAGCATCACTCTGCTCTGGAGTGCTCTTCTCTTCTGATTGAGAAAACAAACACATTACAATTTATTAAAAACATCAGAGAATAATCATATTACGCTTTATTGATAAAATGACTGAACTTGCGCAGTTCATGTCTCACAATTCAGCGCTAATATCTCACAATTCAGCGTTCATATTTTGCAATTCTGCATTCATATCTCGCAATTCAGCGCTCATATTTTGCAATTCAGCATTCATATCTCGCAATTTAGCGCTCATATCTCGAAGTTCAGCATTCATATCTCGTAATTCAGTGCTCACAAATCACAATTCAGCATTCATATCTCGCAATTCAGCGATCAAATCATGCAATTCAGCATTCATATCTCGCAATTCAGTGCTCAAATCTTGCAATTCAGCGCTCATATGTCGCAATTCTGCATTCACATCTTGCCATTTGGCGCTCATATCTCGCAATTCTGCATTCATATCTCGCAATTCAGCGCTCATATCTCGTAATTCAGTATTCATATCTCGCAATTCAGCGCTCATATCTCGCAATTCAGCATTCATATCTCGCAATTCAGTGCCCATTAGGGCTGTGCAATTAATCGCATGCGATTAATTGCACAGCCCTAGCGCCCATATTTCGCCATTCAGCGCTCATATCTCGCAATTCAGTATTCATATCTCGCAATTCAATGCCCATTAGGGCTGTGCAATTAATCGCATGCGATTAATTGCACAGCCCTAGCGCCCATATTTCGCCATTCAGCGCTCATATCTCGCAATTCAGTATTCATATCTCGCAATTCAATGCCCATTAGGGCTGTGCAATTAATCGCATGCGATTAATTGCACAGCCCTAGCGCCCATATTTCGCCATTCAGCGCTCATATCTCGCAATTCAGTATTCATATCTCGCAATTCAATGCCCATTAGGGCTGTGCAATTAATCGCATGCGATTAATTGCACAGCCCTAGCGCCCATATTTCGCCATTCAGCGCTCATATCTCGCAATTCAGTATTCATATCTCGCAATTCAATGCCCATTAGGGCTGTGCAATTAATCGCATGCGATTGTCATGTGCATCTCGTCAGTAAAGCCGGTCCCATGATTAGTAGTAAATCTCCATCACCTGCTTTCAGATTGAGCGAAGAGCCGTAGTTCACATACAATTAGGCAATATCGCGTTCATAATCACAGATGAATCACATTCGATTATGAACGCGATATCGCCTAGCTTGTCAGTGAAATACGGCTCTGTGTATTAAATGCCGCTCCATCTGAAAGCAGGTGATGACGATTTACTACTAATCACGGGACCGGCTTTACTGACGAGATGCGCATGACAATCGCATGCGATTAATTGCACAGCCCTAGCGCCCATATTTCGCAATTCAGCGCTCATATCTCGCAATTCGGTATTCATATCTCGCAAGTCAGCACTCATATCTCGCAATTCAGTTCTCATATTTCGCAATTCAGCGCTCAAATCTCGTAATTCAGAGTTCATATCTCGCAATTCAGCACTCAAATCTCACAATTCAGTATTCATATCTCGCAATTCAGCGCTCAAATCTCGCAATTCAGCGCTCATATCCTGCCATTCAGCACTCATATCTCGCAATTCAGTGCTCATATCTCGCAATTCAGTGCTCAAATCTCGCAATTCAGCATTCATATCTCACAATTCAGCGCTCAAATCTCACAATTCAGCATTCATATCTCGCAATTAAGCACTCATATCTCGCAATTCAGCACTCATATTTTGCAATTCAGTGCTCATATCTCGCAATTCAGTGCTCATATCTCGAAGTTCAGTGTTCATATCTCGTAATTCAGCGCTCAAAAATCACAATTCAGCATTCATATCTCGCAATTCAGCGATCAAATCGTGCAATTCAGCATTTATATCTCGCAATTCAGCGCTCATATCTCGCAATTCAGTTTTCATATCTCGCAATTCAGTGCTCAAATCCCGCAATTCAGCATTCATATCTCACAATTCAGCACTCAAATCTCACAATTCAGCATTCATATCTCACAATTCAGCGCTCAAATCTCACAATTCAGCATTCATATCTCACAATTCAGCCCTCATATCTCACAATTCAGCATTCATATCTCGCAATTCAGCACTCATATCTCGCAATTCAGTGCTCATATCTCGAAGTTCAGCGTTCATATCCCGTAATTCAGCGCTTAAAAAAAATCACAATTCAGCATTCATATCTCACAATTCAGCGATCAAATCGTGCAATTCATCATTTATATCTCGCAATTCAGTGCTCAAATCGTGCAATTCAGCATTTATATCTCGCAATTCAGTGCTCAAATCTTGCAATTCAGCTCTCATATCTCGCAATTCTGCATTCATATCTTGCAATTTGGCGTTCATATCTCGCAATTCTGCATTCATATCTCGCAATTCAGCTCTCATATCTCACAATTCAGCATTCATATCTCGCAATTCAGCATTCATATCTTGCAATTCAGCATTCATATTTTGCAATTCTGCGTTCATATCTCGGAATTCAGCGCTCATATCTCACAATTCAGCGCTCAAATCTCACAATTCAGTGTTCATATCTCACAATTGAGTGCTCAAATCGCGCATTTCGGTGTTTATCTGTGTTCAGTTAGTCTTGCAATTCAAGCAGAAACAAGCTTCTACACATTTGAAGGAAGCAATTTTTCAAATTTTAATTTTGAAAGTTCTGAAGAGCTCATATCTCGCAATTCATCACTCAAATCTCGCAATTTAGCGCTCGTATCTCGCAATTCAGTGCTCATATCTCGCAATTCAGTGTTCATATCTCACAATTCAGCGCTCAAATCTCACAATTCAGCGCTCATATCTCACAATTCAGCGCACAAACCTCGCAATTCAGTGTTCATATCTCACAATTCAGTGCTCATATCGCGTAATTCAGTGTTTATATTTTGCAATTCAGGCAGAAACAAGCTTCTACAAATTTGAAGGAAACAATTTTTCAAATTTTAATTTTGAAAGTTCTGAAGAGCTCATATCTCGCAATTCATCACTCAAATCTTGTAATTCATCCCTCAAATCTCGCAATTCGGTGCTCATATCTCGCAATTCAGCGCTCAAATCTTCCAATTCAATGCTCATATCTCGCAATTCAGCGCTCATATTTCGCAATTCAGCATTCATATCTCGAAATTCAGCACTCAAATCGTGCAATTGCGTTTATCTCTCACAATTCAGCGCTCAATTCTTGGGATTCAGCGCTCATATCTCGCAATTCTGCATTCATAGCTCGCAATTCGGTGCTCATATCTCGCAATTCTGCATTCATATCTCAGAATTCAGCGCTCATATCTCGCAATTCAGCATTTATATCTCACAATTCAGTGCTCAAATCTCGCAATTTAGTGCTCAAATCTTGCAATTCAGTGCTCAAATTGTGCAATTCATTGTTTCTACACATTTGAAGGAAACAATTTTTTACATTTTAATTTTGCATGCCTCCTGACAAAAATTTAAATATTACTATCACTGTAAGATATTTATAACAAAACAGAGGTCAAACATTTAATCTCAAGACTATGACTTTTCTAAATATGTATAGTTTTTCAAGATTAAATTAAGATTTATTACTTATTCTGTAAATAAAAATAAATGCACATTAACATGTTAATAGCCATATAAATGCATAAAAAGGACTGTACTGAACAGTCAATTAGAAATGAAAGCATGTATTCGTTCTCCGCAGATTAGAGACGCTCACCTCTTTCTGCTCCAGTGAATGAAGTGGCCACTGCTTCTTCAAAGCATTTCTTGAAAGCGTCTGCCGTCTCCTGCAGTTTAAACCGCGCTGCTAACGTCTGAACGCTGCCGTCTCCATCGGCAAAATCAAGAGCGCTCCATGTCCACGCTTTCTCGGACGCTTTCATCGGCTCCAGCTTCATGTTTGGAGTAATCCAGTGGTTTGCACATAACTTCAGGACCTGCTCTCTCCTCATCACGAGTCTTGCACGTCTGCTTTCATCGTTCTGAAGTATTTTAAGCTCACCTATGCCTCTTTCCTTCCACTGCTGTGATTCTTTGTCATAGCGGTATAGTTTGGCTTTGTGACTATAAACTACTTGCTCATTGTCCTCTCCAGTCGAGATCTCAACTAGATCAGGTAACGGTATGACCGGCTCATAGTCCTCTTCGTCTTCATGGTTACATGTTTTTTCTTCATGATCTGAGCCAGAAGCCTCCACAGATGTGGATTTAAGGGGAACGTGCTGAAAACTGAAGGTAAATTCTGCCACTGATTCCCCAAAACGGAAAACATCCTTCTGGTCCTGCTGAGCAGAACCTTGAGAGGACTTTATCTGGACTTTTGCTGAAAAGTAATTTCAGAGATGGAACAAGTTATTTGAAGAAAGATTATAAGGACAAACACTTATTAATGAATCAATAAAACCAGGAACATGTATTAAGAAAGTAAATAAGGTCAAATCTGATGTTATGTTGATATTAAAGGATTAGTTGAGTTCCAGAATAAACATTTCCAGAGAATTTACTCACCCCCATGTCATCCAAGATGTTATTGTCTTTCTTTCTTCAGCCCCAAAGAAATTACGTTTTTTGAGGAAAACATTCCAGGATTGTTCTCCATACAGTGGACTTCAATGTGTATCAATGGGTTGGAGGTTAAAATGCAGTTTTAATGCAGCTTCCAAGGGCTCTACACGATCCCAGCTGAGGAATAAGAGTCTTATCGAGCTTATCGATCGCTCATTTTCTTAAATGTAATTTAAATGTATATACTTTTTAACCTCAAATGCTCGTCTTGCTCTCGCTCGACCTCACTCATTACGAAGTCACGTTGGAAAGGTCACGCATGACGTAGGTGGAAGCACCAACCCAGTGTTTACAAAGCGAATGTGCAAAAAAAAAGTCAAATACCCTTTACAAAAAAGGTAAAACAAAGATTTTTTGCCCTAGTTTTTCGCCCTACCTTTTTGAACCGAAGTACACAGACGAAGAACTAACCGCGCGTGACATTTCCAACACGATTATGTAATGTGCGAAGACACACGTGCGCAAGCAGAGCGAGAGCAAGACGAGCATTTGAGGTTAAAAAGTATATACATTTTAATTATATTTAAGAAAATGAGCGATTGTTTCGCTAGATAAGACTCTTATTCCTCGGCTGGGATCGTGTAGAGCTCTTTGAAGCTGCATTTTAACCTTCAATGCGTTGAGCACCACTGAAGTCCACTATATGGAGAACAATCCTGGAATGTTTCCTCAAAGAACGAAATTTCTTTAGGGCTGAAGAAAGAAAGACATGAACATCTCGGATGACATGGGGGTGAGTAAATTACCAGGAAATTTTTATTCTGGAAGTGAACTAATCCTTAAATATCAAAATGTTACCCGGGTTATAATTAGCTAAAACTAAAACCATAAAAAAAAATGTTGGTTACTTCAAAAAAAAAACTTGAACTGAAGTAAAATATTTAAAAAATGTATTTTAGCTAGTTGCTAAGGTAACCATTCTCATTTAGTTCATGTATTAAAATAACTAAATCTGAAATAAAATTAATAAATATTTTTATACACATATTAAAAATAAAAAAAATAAAAATGTTAACTTTAAATTAAAAATGGAAAATAGAAAAATAAAAAACAAATTTCTAATAAAAAAATAGAATAGTGCATCAGTGATACTAAAATAATCTAACCTAGATAGATTAGAGAGAGTTTACTGAAGTCTTCTCACCTTCTCCAGATTTGATCTTGATCTCCGTCTCTTTGGTGACGTGCATCAAACGCTCTTGCATTTCAGAAAGCAGCAGCTCCACATTGCAAAAAAATGCTTTTGGATTTTCAGAAATGTTGTAAAGATCTTCAAATTCTTCACACATGGATTCTTCACAGTCAGTTGGATAATTCTACAGATTACAAATAATGCAGAATGAAGAAAATACATTCCAAACTAAAATCTTCCGCATTGATTGGAAACTTTGTCAAAATCCTAAATTCAAAAACACATTGAAAACTAAATATGATCAACCATTTTTTTGAATGAACCAAGGAGCAAGTGTTGTTCTTTTATAAACTGAAGACATTATCATTTTAATAGCTTCATCTCTTGATCTGCAAATGAGTTTTTGTTTGTTACTCTGAAGGTAAGTGTGTGTGATGCTGTACCTGCAGAAAGTGAATGTGGTCTTCAGTGGTCAGGAACTGATCGAGCTCAGACACCTTCATCCTGAGGTCAGAGATCTTCTGCTGGACTTTCTCCTGAAGTCCTTCAATGCGACTTAGTTCATCTCTCTGTCGCTCTGCGATCAGCTCTTTCACGCGCACGCTTGTTTTCTGAACGGAGCACAGCACTTCACTGAAGATCCGCTCGCTTTCAGAGACAGCCGTCTGCGCTGAACACTGTTCCACAGCAAGAACATCCACAAACAACACTCTTCAATTAACACATCATTGCTTCTCATAGACTAACAAATGCTTCTCAGATGTTTCTTCTGAAACAGATGTCTCCTGAGGAGATGAAAGGAGCCATGCAATCAATACTCACTGTGACGGACTCCTCTGCCTGCTTTAGCTCTTTGAAATCCTTCTCTCTGTCTCGGACGTTCTGCAGAAACTTCTCACGAGTTTCCATTAACTTCATCTGGCCACAGAAAAGAGTTATATATTTTAGCTTTTAACAGCTTATTAAAACTTGCAATCACACATACTGTTAACCTTTAGATACTAGGATTACCACAATACATTCAGTTTAATGAAATAAAAGTCCAAAGTGCTCATTATCAATACAGGCTTTCTGCAGGTGTTATGAAGGTAAATATGAAGATTTAAGGAATAAATTGAAGGGTGTGGTCTCTAACGGTACATGTCTAGGGAAACACTATGCAAATGCATCTTGATTTAAGGACGTTTAGATATTTGTACTGGAAAACAAGACAGAAATACCGAGGAAGATACTCCTTTTTGCAGCGCATGCAATATTTAATGCGATGACTTTGTGAATTTAAGACTTTCTGCTGTGGTTTAAGACCTTTTTAATTTGTGCAAGGACGGATTACGAATTAAGACTTTCTAAGATCTGCAGAAATAAATGTGCATGCTCACAAATAATCTGAACTAACCAGTATCTGACAAAGACATATGGGTCATTCTGTGTCAAATCAACCGGCTCAAATTTTTGATTTTGTTTTCTGAAGAAAGACAAACATAAATCATGATGAAAGCTAAAATATGAAATGCCATGGTTGCATTTTTACTGAATAATCCACTATTTTGAAGACATTTTTGAAAATGACAATTTTCAGATTCAGAGCCAAATTACAGAAGGGTAAAAATGACTTCAGGAAGATGGCAGCATCATAATGTTATTTTCACGCAGAGATTGGTAGCTCTATTCATAAAATCAGCTTACTTTAGCAATCTTCGTTTCATTATATGAGAATGGTGACAGTTCAAAAATGGGGAAAAAAGCACTTTTTGTGTGTTTTCCTGAAGTTTGTGTGTCTGTAAGTCAAGAAGTATTAAAGAAACCTTAATATCCTTTTTTAAGTTCTTTTAGTAACTTGATTTTTAAGGGCCATATGGTTCATTTACAGAGATATAAGGGATTTTAATGTGGCTCCAAGAGTAAATTGTACACATGTTCAGTGGTCGAAAACCAAATGTGGTTCACTTTGCATTCAGCTGACACTTATTGTATTTAAAGAGAGAATCTAAAATCATACGGAGATATCTTTGATACTTGTTGAGTTACAGGCATGCAAACTTGGGACAAACATGCAACTGTTTTGATAGAATGAAACAAGTTACATTTCTAGTTTCAACATTATTTGCTGTTCAGACGTTCCTCTTTAAAAGGAAAAGAGTATCATCTGTATGCAAGTCGACCCACATTTGGTTTTTGACCACTGAAAATGTCTACAATTGAACTATTTACTCAAGGAGCCACAACGTGGCCACATGAAAATCCCCATATCTCTGGGAATGAACCATACAGGGCCTTAAATGAAGATGCAAAAAAAAAAAAGTTTGTTAAGAACTAAAATTTAAAAGGACATTGAGATATATTTAAAGAGACAGTTCACCCAAAAATGAAAATTACCCCATGATTCACTCGCGCTCAAGCTGGAACGCCACTTTCTTGTGAACCCGAGTATGATAGTTAGTGGAAGCTAGAGATTACAGTTTATAAAAATTGATATTTTTCTTACACAAACACTTCAGAAGGCATTTATTAACCCCCTGGAGCTGTGTGGAGCACTTTTTATGATGGACGGATGCACTTTATTTTGCTTCAAAATCTCTGCAACCATTCACTGCCAATATAAAGCTTGGAAGAGCCAGGACATTTTCAATATAACTTTTCAATATAATGTATTCATCTGAAAGAAGAAAGTCATATACACCTAGGATGGCTTGAGGGCGAGCGAATCATGGGGTAATTTTCATTTTTTGGGTGAACTATCCCTTTAATGCTTCTTGAGTTCCAGATAAACAAACTTTGGGGGAAACACACAAAAAAGTGCTTTTTTCCCATTTTTGAACTGTCACTGTTGGCATATAATGCAGCAAAGATGATTAAAGTCAGCAGATTTTACTAAAGAAGCTACCGATCTCTGTGGGAAAATAACATTATGATGCTGCAGTGATTCTAAAGTCACTTTTATTCTCCTGTAGTTTGGCTTTGAATCTGAAAGTTGGCATTTTGACCCTCCTCTACAAAATAGTGCGTTACTCAGTAAATATACATCTGTGACATTTAATATTTTGGCTTTCATTGCTATTTATGCTGGTCTTTCTTCAGAAAAATTATTAACAAATTAAAAAAATTGAGTCAGGAATCTCTGGCTGACATTGAATAAGCCACATGCAGCCGCGCTGTGATCCCCATATCTCTGGGAATGAGCCATATACAGCCTTAAAAATACAATTAAGAGAAGGAAAGCTTATTAAGAACCAGCATAAATAAGGATTTTGAGATATCTTTAACACTTCTTGAATTACAGGCACGCAAACTATGGGGAAAAGCACACAAACAGTGCATTTTTCCTATTTTTGAACTGTCTCCATTGTCATATAATGCTAAACAGATTGCTAAAGTCAACAGATTTGACCAATAGAGCTACCAATCTCTGTGTAAAAATAACATTATGATGCTGCCATCTCTCTAAAGTCATTTTTACCCTCCTGTAATTTGGCTCTGAATCTCAGCTGAAAATTGTCATTTTGACCCCTTCTACAAAATAGTGCATTACTCAGTAAACATTCATCTGTGACATTTAATATTTTGCCTTTCTACTTCACTAACATATTTCTTTCACCAAAAAGATATCAACAAAATGACAAATTTAAGCCAGGGACCTCTGGTTGAGGACATGTAATGACTGAGACTTCAGATATGATCAATCAGTGAGGATCTACCTGTCTGTCTGCTCTTTCCTCAGAAGCTGAGACGCTGTCGTGGTTCTTGTGTTCATGTATAGCACACAGCAGACAGACACACTTCTGATCAGTGCGACAGAAGACATCCATCAGTTTCTCATGAAGAGAGCAGGTTTTGCTCTGAAGATCCGTGGCTTCGGTCAGCAGGTGTTTCTTCCATCCGTGGAGATCATTGTGCTTCTCCAGGTGACTTCTGCAGAATGAGGAGACACAGGTGAGGCAGGATTGCACAGCTTTGGTTCTTCTGGAGGTGCAGGAATCACAGCTGACTCCATGTTCTTCAGCATCTTCATCATCCTCCTCCTTTGGTCTCATCTTCATCAGTTTCTCAGAAAGCTCCTTCATCTGCAGCCAGTCAGTGACAACAGGTTTGTTGGGAAAGGTTTGTTTGCACTGAGGACATCTGCGCACATCTTTATCCCACAAACCTGTAATGCAGTCCTTACAGAAAATGTGTCCACAGGGAATAATGACTGGGTTTCTGAAGACATCCAGACAGACAGAACACCTGAGAGATTCCCGATCGTATAAAGCTGCAGCTGCCATTTTTGCTGGATCCACAAACGAAACTTTGACGGTAAGTTTTCGTTTCGTTTGTTTGGAATCGAGTGTGAGTCAACAGTGGGAATCTCTTTCACTTTAACGCACTACTCTCTACTGTCGCTCTCTATAATAGGCTCGGGAAACAGATTTATTTTGCCCAAGCGGATATCTTGTTATTTATTTCTAGGCGAAGTATGGAATACACGTTATTAGTATGGAGCAATATCGAGTTATATGGGATATGAAAACGTGGGGAAACTGAGGTCTTGTATGTGCAGTATGACAAATATCAATGTTTTTTCATCTGTTCATGTTTATTTTATTGTCCTCAGGATGCTGCAGTATCGTGTGTTTCCACTAGATGGACCCATCGTCTTGAAGAAGCATTACAAAAGTTACGTTTTAAATTAATTTAATATGTTGTGATGTCCTTTTGTTTTGTTTTCATGCCGTTAATATTGTATCTCCTTATTTGGATTTACAGTGTTTGTTAAATGTCAAGAAAACCTACTGGATTGTTTTGTATTTTTGGAATTCAATTAAAAAATAAAACAAGCATTCCTTCATATAAAGTCACTGATCAGAACCTGCAAGACAGGACTGAGGAATACAATCAAACATTAGTTCCTTCATGTATATGCTTTAACAGAACATAACAAGTAAATCCAGTTTTTCACATCCAACTTTGAATGTTGTCTGAAAGATAAAAACAAAGAGTTACATGATTTACAAGAGTTATTTTTTATAACTGTTGATCAACGCCAAAAGAACAACAACTGACTCAACATTGCAAAACAACAAAGCGTGAAAAAATATTTACATAATCACCATATATGCAAACATACCTGTCAAATATAATTTTTTCAAAATTTTCTACATCAATATGTTACTTTAATTCCATGTGTTACTTGTTTCTTTGTAATTGTTTGTGAAATGTACTACAGGGTTTCTGCATGTTATATAAAGGAAAATTTAAGACTTTTTAAAGACCAGTTAAAGAATTAAAAGGAAACAAAACATCAGTATGTTCTCTAGTTGTAGCAACACTTCAAAACTTCAAACCACCCTGTTGAAAAAAACAGCATATGCTGGTTAGGTATGTTTTGACGCTGGGATGCTGGTTTATGCTGGTCATGTGCCAGCAAAGGACCAGCATAAACCAGCAAAGGACCAGTTTAAACCAGCATCCCAGCGTCAAAACATGCCTAACCAGCATGTGCTGTTTTTTTCAACAGGGCAGTGGGGATTTTTTAGAATAATTGAGCTACTATTAGTTTTTATTACTGTTTTGAATTCATTTTTATTTTTATATTGTCTGTTTTCATTTAAATTTCAAAGGTTTAGTAATTTTTTTGTTTTTTATTAGTTTATTTTAAATATGTCTGCATAGTTTTTTTTTTTGTTTAATTTCAGTTCCTTTTAAAAAATCTAATTTTGTAATAATTTATTTGGCTGCTTCTTGCACGTTTTAAATGTATTATGTGTTATGGTGAAATGCAAAATAAATGGCGTGACTGATGTGATGCAGTGGATCTGTCAATGTTTGGATGATTTGGGGATTGATCTGATGCATCAGGTGTTATCAAACTCTGAAACTGTCCGTCACTCTCCAATCATCTCTTTATTAGAAAGTGGATGCTAAATATGTCTCTTCTCATAGACGTGTCTGTCTGATTAGGACGTCTCACCTCCATGTCTGACGTCTGATCGGCTCATTATGTTGGTTTGTCGTCATCCAGCCGAAAAACCTGACATCGTTAAACCTGTCCAGACCCGAGACTTTCACACGATTGCGCTCTCACACCTTTTGTTTGATCGCTCTTACTCATTTCTCCTCCTCAGCTTAGAAATTAACAACAAGCCTCAGAGTAACAATGCAGGAAACTTTTCTCCTCGCTCAAATTGGCTTCCAGTAAATTAATTCCTCTGGTTTGAATATAAGCTCCAAATGAGAAGCCTGGCGAGCCCTTGGTGGTCCGCTGGTATGTCATTACAAACTACATCATAGCTGTGGAGAATAACAATTACTCTGACCCTAAAAGCACTTATGAACTTCTCTGGTCCCTTTTCTTTCTCCAGCCATCTGTGGCATGGAGCATGTTAGCTCCTCTGATGATAATACAACTCCACTACAACTCTTATTTTCAATCAATAAGATGACATAAGGAGAATCTAACTGGTCCCAGGACAGAGCCTTGCAGGATTCCACCGTGCCTCCATCGAGCGAATCAATCCGCCTGCGCTTTGATAGGCCTGCGGGGAGAACATGACATTTTGCCATGCAATTGTTTTGTGGTTATGGCTGCACGATGTGTTTATTCATTTCAGGAGAATGAGAAGAGGTCGTCTCTTAAAAGCCCTTCAGATGCTCACAGCAGAGTCACGCATGAGCTGAAGATACTCTTTGAAAATGTGCGCTTATTTTCTCTTGTTTTGTTCTGTTGGAGCTCCCTAGACGTCTCAATGGACTGTTTGCACACTGTAAAAAATGTTAGATTTATGGTAAAATACTGGGAATGTCCTTTTACTGCTTTTAGATGGTGCACGCTTAAAAAAAAAATAAAGCTTCTTTATTGGCTTTGATGGATGAACTTTTAACATCCATGGAATCTTTCCATTGTACAAGGCTCTTAATAGTGGAAAAGGGTTCTTTATGGTTATTTAAAGAACTGATGATTGAAAGGTTCTTTGAAGAAGCAAAAATTGTTCTTCTATGGCAGGGGTGTCCAAACTCGGTCCTGGAGGGCCAGTGTCCTGCAGAGTTTAGCTCCAACTTGCCTCAACACACCTGCCTTTAAGTTTCTAGTATGCCTGGTAAGAGCTTGATTATCTGGTTCAGGTGTGTTTAATTGGGGTTGGAATTAAACTCTTCAGGACACCGGCCCTCCAGGACCGAGTTTGGACACCCCTGTTCTATGGCATCACTGCGAAAACACATTTTTGGAACATTTGGAAGAGTGTAATTCATAGTTTTCACTAAGTTGCAATAACCATGAATCTGACATTAGTTTACAGTAAAATGACATGCATGCAATGTTAACTCATTTGCAGTTTTTTGTCTTAAAATGCCGTGCTGGGTAGTAACTGATTACATGTAATCTGGATTACATAATCAGATTCCAAAAATTAAGTAGTAGTAATTGGATTATATTACATTTTAAAGTGCTCACAATCAGATTACAGTTACTTTTTTTGGATTACATGATTACATATACACAGTGCTGGGTAGGTGACTTGCAAATTTGAGTCTGTTACTGATTACAAATTACATGATGAAAATTGTAGTCAGTAATGTAATCTAGATTCCTCATTTTAGGTAATGTATTCTGACTACTTACGCATTACTTTTAGATGACTTTTGACCTAACTTGTTTATAGATTTAAATGGGATTATTGTTATAGAAAATAAATAAATAAATAAAATATTACCATTAACTGACATCAGAGAGCATGCAAATGTGTTGTTAAATTATTTGAAATATTAATTTTCTTGACACTTCTTAATGTTGATAACAAAGAACAGAAAATATTTTCTCATGAGATAGGTCAAAAGTAATCTAAAAGCAATCAAAAAGTAGTCAGAATACATTACCTAATATGTGTAATCCAACAGATTACGTTACTAAGTACAATTTCTGTTATGTAATTTGTAATTAGTAAAGGACTACAATTTGTAAGTAATGTACCCAGCACTGCTTAGAGTTAACTAATTAAATTGTACCTGTAAACCAAATTGTAAATATGTAAAAATACAGACTTTTTTTTTACAGTGTACACACCATGGGTACATTTTTAAACTGTAAAAAATGACCGTGAATTTAACGGTAAAAGACTGTAAATTTCTGACCGAAGTTGATGGGGTAATTGTAGAAGAACCTAGCTGGATGGAGAAATCATGCTGTAGAGTTGGAGTGGCAGGGAAGACAAGAAGCTCAGTCTTTGCCAGGTTGAGCTGTAGGTGATATTCTTTCATCCATGCCGAGATGTCCACCAGGCCATGAGATAAATATGTATTATCTCATATGCATTAGTTAAATGTGCATTGTCTAATTTGCATACATTTCCGTCACATAAATCTGAACATTTGATAAAGCCAGGTTCATAATTCTGGTTGAATTTTGTTGTCATATTAGAGGTTTTTCCAGAGGTCTAATCAGAAAATGCTGTCAACAGACGCATTTTCACCATGTTTTTAGGAATAATATGTTGTTTAAATCAGTGTGAATGAAATATGAGCAAACCTTCAGAATATAGAGAGGAATAAAATGATAAAGTTCAGTGTTTGTAAAAGAAAAAACTCTTTAAAGATATGGATTGGAATTGAAATCTACAGATGCAATTAGATAAAGTGCAATAAAATAAAAACTTCACTGTGTATTTTGTATGTTTTCTCTCCACTAGTCTGAAAGAAAACATGATATGGAAGCAAAATAGACCAAAATCTCAAAATTGACCAGTGCAGTGAAAAAATAGTTTTGCCTGTATTGACTGAGACGTAACTGTGTTCATATATGTTTATATATCACAACAACATCTAATACGTTTTTATCTGCAAATAAAGAAAAACCTTTATAGTTATTGTCCACACAATCGATCCCTTTAACTCACTACAGCCTGTCTTTAATGTGCAAGTTATTAACGCTATAAATCTCTGAAAGCAGACACACAAATTAACGATGATGTAATCCGATAAGATTTCAACTAATAAAACCCAATTATGAATATACCCACAATCCTCTGCTCGATGACGGTTAGGGAAAGGCCCAGTTAACAGGTTAACCGTGACGAATCCACACATTATTCTAGTCTTGATCTCAGAGTGATTTGGTCAAACATGGACATCAGTGATTGATTGAGTCTGAAACAGGTGCATGTGTTATTTCTCCTCTCAGCGAGGCTGTACTGGTTATATATAGACTCAGTCATTTCCTCTGTGCCTTCTTCATATTTTTCTCTTCCCATTAATTTTATCAAGTCAAATGTAGGACACAGATGAACGACGG